CATCTATCTATCTATCTATCTATCTATCTATCTATCTATCTATCATCTATCTATCTGAAACCATTTAAATTAGTACTAGAGATCAATACAATACTTTGTCAAACTATCAATATTCTTATGAGGCTGTGACAACTGTTTGTCCCCATATCTAATCATATCCAGAAAAAAATCAGTCGTTCTTTATTAATGTCATTGCTTTTATTAAATTACTTATTGTGCTAATGAGATTTGAAGTTTCCTATTAAGGGCAGATGGGGGGGGGGGAAGAATTCATTAAGGGAGGGAGGTTTTTCAACTGCATTTGTAAAATTACATGCTAATAAAATGGGAAATATGATTTTGGCAGTTGCTAATACAAATTGATTTCTTTTTGTCCAGTTCCACAGACAAAAGCAAAGACGAGAGAGAGAGAGAGAGAGAGAGAGAGAGAGAGAGAGAGAATGTTGACGAGCAGAGGACTAGATATGAATTACTGAAATTTTGCAGTGACAGAAAAAAAATCAAGTTCAGCTTTACTTGTTTCATTTATGAATAGTGTCTAGTGAGTTATCTCAAAGTGACAAAACTCTTGCATATATTAAAACAATTAAAACAATTGTGTGTATACAAAAAAATTGAAAAGAAAAACACCCGGAAATTCTACTCACACCCACAGTTTAAAACAACAGCACATACATAAAATCTGTTTTAAGGTGTTTCTTAAACCGCCATTGAGAGTGTCCCCCCTTTACAGTCAAGTGTTATATAAATTTTATTTAATAAAAATAAAATTATGAAATGGAAACCATTCAAATCCAAGAAACTGGATTGAAGTCCTCCAATGAGAAGGAAAGCGGATCATCATTGGCCAGTGCCAAAAAGACAAGATAAGTTGCCTGCCTGGTATCTAGTGGAAGGTAGTTCCAAAGAAAGAGGTGCCACCATACGGAAGGCCGGATTCTCACACTGTACAGAATGGACCTTCTAATTGGGTGGTATATACAGGAGGCCTTCTTCTGCAGGGTACAGCGCTAGATTGGGTATTGTAAGGGGTGAGAAGATCTTTTAGGTCTCCTGGTCCCAAGCGACATAAGACTTTGCAGACCACGGATGGAGGCAGCAGTGATTTTGAAGGCCAGTCGCTGGAAACCGTGGGAGGGGAGAGTCGCTCCTGTGTTCGAATCCTGCTTGCATGCTTCCTGTGTTGTTGTTGTTGAGTCGTGTCCGACTCTTTGTGACCCCATGGACCAGAGCATGCCAGGCACTCCTGCCTTCCACTGCCTCCCGCAGTTTGGTCAAATTCATGTTGGTAGCTTTGAGAACACTGTCCAACCATCTCATCCTCTGTCGTCCCCTTCTCCTTGTGTCCTCCATCTTTCCCAACATCAGGGTTGTTTCCAGGGAGTCTTCTCTTCTCATGAGGTGGCCAAAGTATTGGAGCCTCAGCTTCAGGATTTGTCCTTCTAGTGAGCACTCAGGGCTGATTTCCTTCAGAATGGATAGGTTTGATCTTCTTGCAGTCCATGGGACTCTCAAGAGTCTCCTCCAGCACCAGAATTCAAAAGCATCAGCCTTCTTTATGGTCCAGCTCTCACTTCATGCTTCCTATAACAAGCACCTAATTGGCCACTGTGAGGACAGGATACTGGACTGGACGGGATCTCTTTGGTCTGATCCAGCAAGGCTCATCTTATGTTCTCATTCTGTGCTTTGCTTTCTAAGATGAGAAATCCTGGGGCCTCGTCCGCAAATTGCCCCAGTGCATGTTGGCAACTCGATTACTCACTAGGTGACTTGTGGCTGGTTGCTGCCTTTGGTTAATCTACCCCACAGGGTTGTTGTGAGGGTCAGTGTCTCTCTGTAAGGGAACGACTATGTGTGCCAACCCCAAACTTCATTGTCATAGAATCATAGAGTTGGAAGAGACCACAAGGGCCATCGAGTCCAACCCCCTGCCAAGCAGGAAACACCATCAGAGCACTCTTGACATATGGTTGTCAAGCCTCTGCTTAAAGACCTCCAAAGAAGGAGACTCCACCACACTCCTTGGCAGCAAATTCCACTGTCGAACAGCTCTTACTGTCAGGAAGTTCTTCCTAATGTTTAGATGGAATCTTCTTTCTTGTAGTTTGGATCCATTGCTCCGTGTCCGCTTCTCTGGAGCAGCAGAAAACAACCTTTCTCCCTCCTCTATGTGACATCCTTTTATATATTTGAACATGGCTATCATATCACCCCTTAACCTCCTCTTCTCCAGGCTAAACATGCCCAGCTCCCTTAGCCGTTCTTCATAAGGCATCGTTTCCAGGCCTTTGACCATTTTGGTTGCCCTCCTCTGGACACGTTCCAGTTTGTCAATCACCCTAGGAGCACTCTTACAATAAGAAAAAGAAAAGGGGGTGGGGGAGGCATGAAAATGAAGAAGATGCCCAACAGCTGAAATAAAATTTATTTAGTTATTTATATTAAAGCTCAACATCAAAAATAACTAAGATCGTGGCCACTGGGCCCATCACCTCCTCACAAATAGAAGGGGAAGAAATGGAGGAAATGAGAGATTTTACTTTCTTGGGCTCCATGTTCAGATGAGCAGATGGTGACAGCAGTCACGAAATTAAAAGATGCCTGCTTCTTGGGAGAAAAGCAATGGCAAACCTAGACAGCATCCTAAAAAGCAGAGACATCACCTTGCTGTATAGGTCTGTATAGTTAAAGCTATGGTTTTCCCAGTACTGATGTATGGAAGTGAGAGCTGGACCATAAAGAAGGCTGATCGTTGAAGAATTGATGCTTTTGAATTATGGTGCTGGAGGAGACTCTTGAGAGTCCCAGGAAATCAGCCCTGAGTGCTCACTGGAAGGACAGATCCTGAAGCTGAGGCTCCAATACTTTGGCCATCTCATGAGAAGAGAAGACTCCCTGGAAAAGACCCTGATGTTGGGAAAGATGGAGGGCACAAGGAGAAGGGGAAGTCAGAGGACGAGGTGGTTGGACAGTGTTCTCGAAGCTACCAGCATGAGTTTCACCAAACTGCAGGAGGCAGTGGAAGACAGGAGTGCCTGGCGTGCTCTGGTCCATGGGGTCTCGAAGAGTCGGACACGACTAAACGACTAAACAACAACAATTGAATTTGTATGGTGCGAGGATCACAGGGTGGTTTAAAGTATAAAAACACAACAACACACAACATAAGAACAAACAAAACAATAAGACTCCCTGACAACCATATTTATTTATTCAATTTGTTTTATTTACTCGTTAAATTTATGTAAGAAAGGGTGGGTTAAAGGGCAGAAATAAAGAAAATAAGAGCACAATGAAAAAGTAATAGATGGACTGCATAAAACTCAAAACCGATTTTTTAAAAAAATACTAAAGGCAAAAAAATAATTTGTAAAATAGCAATAGGCATGGATAATCTCGCAGTCTCTGTATATGCTATTTTATTGCTAATGGATAGATGGACAGCCTGGAAGCGCTCTGCGCACGCTCAGAGCCGATCTCCTCTCTTCCAGGCGCCGCTCTCCCCTCCTTCACTCCCCCGCCCCTCGCGCCCCGAAGCCACGCCCCCTGCCAGTTGCTCAGGCAACGCCGAACGCTCCGCCCTTGCGCTCCCTCCCGCCCCCTTTTCGGGTTCTCCCACTTCCCGGCGTGCCCTGCGCCGCGCTCCAATGTCATAGAGTTAACGTTACGCCTTTGCGTTTCGGTCTGTATTCGCAACAAGTCGCCATATGCGGGGCAAACGCTGTGAAAACCGGAATTAACCGAGAGGGGAAACGGACTTCACGGGCGCTTATAATCCAGTCGCAAGGCGGCGTTTGAATGTATAGATTACAGGCGTATACGCCGCCCAGACGCATCTCTGCCAGCCGGACGGTGTTCGGTTTTTTGCCGGAAGTTATAGTTGCACCCCGCTCTCATTCTCTCTCCCTCTGCATAGCAATGAGAAACCACACGCTGCATAGCCTCTCATTTCCGGCTATGTTTCGAGCGCCGCCATTTGAGTGTCTGAAGCGGGGAGACCCATGGGGGGGTGGAAGCGCTACTTCAGAGAAACTTTCCTCATGCCTCTGCACTTTCCACCACGCCGCCGCCGCCTCGAGCGGCTGCTGTTATCCGTTGACACTGGGACGGGCCCCTCAAATGGCTGCCTCCTTAGGGTGGGGGCAGGAGAATGAGAACCGGAAGTGTTCGTCCATTAGGCGTTGCACTCCCCTTTGGCCCAGCTGCTCCGTAGCTTCGGAACGCGGGGCGCTAGGGAGTGCTGGCGCGGTGCATGCTGGGATGAGGGAGGGAATGAATGGGGAGAGTGGGCGTGGCCTGGCTGGGAAATCCAGAGGTAGAGTGCTGCTGCTTGTGGAGGCTCCGCTGAGCAATCCAGGCTGGTAGCTATTCATAGGGCAGCAGCCCTTTTCTTCAAAGGAGTCCCTTTTGGAGCCAAATTCTGAGCAGATGCATTCATTCATTCATTTCATAAAATTGATAGCCCACTTCATTGCAAAACAAGCAAGCAAGCACTGACCCCTCAAATCTGTTTACAAGAAAGATAAAACAACTGAAATCAAGGGCAGGGGTGGGGGTCAAAATACTAAAAGCATATTAAAATTACCCCAACTTTCTAAAGGGTCTGGGTTAGGCTTCTCGAAACAGGAATGTTTATAGGCGGCACCGAAAAGGGTACAGTGAAAGTGCCTGCTTGATATCGATATGTGGAAAAGAAAAAGAAACAACAAAACCTCCCCACATTCAGAAAGTTAGCTTCTTGGGGATGAAAAGTTCTTGCCTCTTGTTTATGCATTTCATTTTTTAAAACAAACGTACAGTCATACCTCGGGTTGAAGTAGCTTCAGATTGGCGGAAATGACTGGCAGAATCCGAGACCAGGGAGAAGAGTCGGTGAAAGAAGATTGGAAAAAATTTAAGGACTATTTACAGAAATATTGTAAAATTAAGGAACTTTAGAAGGATGTTGGATAGAAATTAAGAGGTTTTTAGCTGTAATGCTTTAAGAGACATGGGAAAAAAAGGTTAACAATTGGGTAAAAGATTAATGGTAAGGATTTGCTGAACCAACAAACTGAATTGGAATACAAAGAAGGGAGGTATGAGGAGGTCTGGGGAAATAAGAGTAAGGAAGATAGGTTATGGAACATCATTGTGTTTTTAATTGTTTTATTTTGTATGTTTTTTCTTACTTTTTACTTTTTTGCTGTAATTTATACTTTTTTCTTTGTTTTCTGTATTTTTGTGAAACTTTAATAAATATCATTTAAAAAAAAAATGAAGTAGCTTCAGGATGAATATTTTCGGGTTGCGCTCGCGCATGCGCAGACACTCAAAATGACGTCACGTGCATGTGTGGAAGCGGCAAATCGCAACCTGCACACGCGCATACACGCGGACGTGGGTTGCGTTCGCTTCAGGATGCGAACGGGTCTCCGGAACGGATCCCGTTCGCATCCAGAGGTACCACTGTATAAGTGGCTTTTCACCAAATGTCTTCAAGCAACAGTTATACACGCACAATGCCAATAAGGCAGGCACATCCAACTACCAAGAGACTGCAATCTAAAGGTAAAGGTACCCCTGACCGTTAGGTCCAGTCGTGGACGACTCTGGGGTTCAAGCTCTCATCTCACTTTACTGGCCGAGGGAGCCAGTGTTTGTCCACAGACATCTACTCCCAGATCTACTCCCAGTATAAAAAAAACCTGGCAGTGATCTACCCATTGTCATTGGAGGGAGGAGTAGTGGGGTGAGGGGTGGAAAGGGAAGATTGCCTACAGTTCCTGAGCTTTTTTAGGGGAGAGCAGGAACATTCTTTATGCATTGCTTTTAATCCAACAATCGATTACGATCCCTGGGATCTACCTGTTGATCGCGGTTGACCGGTTGAACATCGCTGCCATAAGGGAATAAGAACGAAAAAAGGGGGGGTTGTATACAGTGGAACTTTGGTTCTCGAACGGCTTAGTTTACGAACAAAATGCCAAAAACCCAGAAGTGTCCTGGTTTTAGAACGTTTTTCGGAAGCTGAACGGCCGATGCGGCTGTCGGCCATTGTTTCCGGGGCGCCTGCTCCAATCAGAAGTCGCGCTTTGGTTTTCGAATGTTTCAGGAGTTGAATGGACTTCTGGAATGGATTAAGTTCGAGAACCTAGGTTCCACTGTGCTACATTAAGAAAACAAAAATAACACACCCAGCATATGCATTATAGCAAAGAACATTAACAGCCTTGAAATATTTTGTATGTATGGCAGAGCATTCAGTCTTGGGGGTCCTCATATGCAGTCTGAAGTGACACCCTCATAAAAGTTAATACCCTTTCTCCACTGCCACAACAGGTGTCACTTCTAGTGCATGGCCCATTGAGGTGTATAAAACAATAAAGAATAACTTGTCTTTGAGCCCCTGTACCTACTGAATTGATCCCGAACACACTGAAATTTGCAACAGTGCTTCTTGCCCCAAGACCAAAAGCTTCATGAAAATAGATTTTGGGTTTTTTTGAACACAGCGTAAAAACTGAATTTCCCTTTTACCGCCACGCATTGTGCTTCGTCTAGGATTGCAGGGGACTCCTTTGCAGTTTCCTGAGTGACATCACCAATTTCAGGGGATGTTTTTTCCCCACAAAGGGAGCTGTGATTTCCTGTCTTCTACTGCCCTCAGTTGTACAGAAATGGGAATTGCGCTTCAAGCAAAGGCTGCGATTGCTTTTGTGATTTCGACTGAAAATAGCAAAAGATGTGATCAAGAGGGTGTTGGGTAACATCTTCCTTTGCCTACTGCAGCAATCTGGGAGGGAAGTGGAGAGCTGAGCTGCCTTTGACCAGAAATCTCTGCCCTCTCCACACTCGCCAGAGCTAAAGACAAAGTTGTGTCAGGGATCCTTGCATTATTGCAGAAACCCCTCTTGTTTTGCACAGGGTGCCTGCCAAGTCAGAAACACCACTTTGCAGGCACTGTCAAGCACTGTGAAAGATGTGTCATTGCAAGGGGAAGCGAGGGCTACCATCTCTGATGGCTATAAAAGAGGACAAGGCATGTTCAGAGAAATGACAATTGATGGCAATGATCTACCATCGCTTGTGGGTTGCTCTGCGCTAAAATACCAATTGTTGGAAATCCCAGGTGGGGAGAGTGTTTTTGCACTTGTTTTTTGTGCTTTGCGGCTTCACATCAGCATCTGATTACTTAGAGTAAGGCAAATAGTTTATTCTCCTCCTTCCTTACTTCTGCATCAATAGGTGTATAGCATGGGTAGGCATAAGGCCCAGAGGCCGGATGCGGCCCAATCGCCTTCTCAATACGGCCCGCAGATGGTCCGGGAATCAGTGTGTTTTTACATGAGTAGAATGTGTGCTTTTATTTAAAATGCATCTCTGGGTTATTTGTGGGGCATAGGAATTTGTTCATCCCCCCCCCCCAAAAAAAATAGTTCGGCCTCCTCACAAGGTCTGAGGGACAGTGGACTGGCCCCCTGCTGGCTGACCCCTGATGTGTAGTGTCCAGATCAAGGGAAGTCATAGTACCTCTCTATTCTGCTTTGGTTAGACCATATCTGAAGTACTATGTCCAGTTCTGGGCATCACAATTTAAGAAGGATGTTGATGAGCTGGAACATGTGCAGAGGAGGGCAACCAAGATGATCAAAGGTCTGGAAACAAGCCTTATGAGGAGTGGTTGAAGGAGCTGGGTATGTTTTGCCTGAAAAGGAGGAGACTAAGAGGAGATAAAGGGACGCTGGTGGTGCTGTGGTCTAAAGCACAGAGCCTAGGGCTTGCCGATCGGAAGGTCAGCGGTTCGAATCCCCGTGACGCGGTGAGCTCCCGTTGTTTGGTCCCAGCTCCTGCTCACCTAGCAGTTCAAAAGCATGTCAAAGTGCAAGTAGATAAATAGGTTCCACTCCGGCGAAAAGGTAAACGGCGTTTCCGTGCACTGATCTGGTTCGCCACTCCTCATAAGGCTTGTTTCCAGACCCTTGATCATCTTGGTTGCCCTCCTCTGCACATGTTCCAGCTCATCAACATCCTTCTTAAATTGTCATGCTGGCCACATGACCCAGAAGCTGTCTGCGGACAAACACTGGCTCCCTCGGCCTATAGAGCGAGACGAGCGCTGCAACCCCAGAGTCGTCTGCTCTTTACCTTTAAGAGGAGATATGATAGCCATCTTCCAATATCTCAAGGGCTGTCTAGGTCTCTCTCTCTCTCTCTCTCTTTCACTCAGATACTTACACACACTCTCAGAATCAGAACTCTCCACATGATTACATTGAAAAGCTTTATTTCAGAATTCAGTGCATGATACATACATACATTCAAAATTTGATTTGTATCTTTCCACCATTCAAATCTTGCTCAAGGCAGCTTGGAACGTGAAAAAAATATATAATTACACATACCCTCCAACATTTCTCCAATGAAAATAGGGACATCCTATTCCATAATACTAATTTTACTATTTATACTCCACCCATCTGACTGGGTTGCTTCAACCACACTTGGCGGCTTCCAACATATATAAAAAAACAATAAAGCATTAATTTTAATTTTTTTTTTTAAAGTTCCCTATACAGGGCTGCCTTCAGATGCCTCGGAGGTTGAATAACTCTATACACTCCAACATTTCTCTGATAGAAATAGGGATGTCCCAAGGAAAAGCTGGACATTCTGGGATCAAATCAGAAACTGGGACGGCTTTTGTAAATCTGGGACTGTCCCTGGAAAATAGGGACACTTGGAGGGTCTGAATTACAACATAACAAAAGGGGTCATAAATGTTAAGTTGTGGGTGATCATATCAGACGACACAGTGATTCTTCAAACAGCTCTTGTTTATTCACAGGCCAGAACAGAACAGAACTGAACGGAAGGGTTCAGCCAGCCTGCTTATATAGAGCTCCACTACAACGCAACTGTAACAACGTTCAGTAACTATCCAATCACTGAACGTCACTTTCAATCCCTTATTTGTATATGTGGACCTGAGTGAAAACTATCTACAGTATCCCCCTGCTGGCCCAGGGTGAGAACTTCAGTACATAACAATAAACAATAAAGAAAACATGAAAAAAAAACCACAACAAAACTGAGCAATTTCTACACTAATCATAATGAGATCTAAAATAAAGATACGAAAAGGCTGTGGCTATGGCAGAAGCAAGGCCCTCTTGGGGTGATAATGCTGTGAGTTCATCATAGGCTCAGGTTGTGTATATGTCTAAATCACATAGCATCAAGATACCACAGTCTCTGCTGTCTCAGTCCAAGGAAACCGAAACCTGGGTAAGCAACTGGAGCCCCTGGGATCTCGCACCGCTTGCAGGTTTGGGGGGCATGCAATGATACACTTCTAGGGAATGAAGGATGAGAGAGTTGGGCTTCCTAAAATCCAGCCCGAGAGTTCAGGGGAACTGTTGCATTTAATGGTAAAGGTAAAGCTACCCATGACCATTAGGTCCAGTTGCAGACGACTCTGGGGTTGTGGCACTCATATCGCTTCACTGGCCGAGGGAGCCGGCATACAGGGTCATGTGGCCAGCATGACTAAGCCGCTTCTGGCGAACCAGAGCAGTGCACGGAAACGTCGTTTGCCTTCCCGCCAGAGCGGTACCTATTTATCTACTTGCACTTTGACATGCTTTCGAACTGCTAGGTTGGCAGGAGCTGGGACCGAACAATGGGAGCTCACCCCGTCACGGGGATTCGAACCGCCGACCTTCTGATCGGCAAGCCCTAGGCTCTGTGGTTTAACCCACAGCGCCACCCGCGTCCCTTGTGGATTTAGTAATAATTCAGACATCACTGGATGTTGTAATGCCATCCAATTTTTGATCTCTCTCCCACTGTCTCATACAGTTTTAAATATTATTTAAAACTGAGTGCCATCTGTCAGGGAGTCCCTTCCCCCCTTTCTCGTACATGCTGGCCAATATGACAGATGCTACATTTGTATATAGCATAAAGGAGAACAAAAACGACTCTGTCTTTTTAACCATTGTGCTTGATTACAAGTGAAAACAGAAAGGCACTCTTCCTTCCCCATCTGCAACCAGGCGTCAGGGTTCAAACTGTGACATCCCTTTTGAAATGAGTTACGGGCAAATCCAATCCAGGAGCAACCCAGAGAAACCAATACAATGTGGTCGATGTTTCACCAGTTGTCTGGTTTTGGACTGGGATGGATCCTGCCGTCTCACCCTAGACCTTAGTGTGAAATCACGCCGACAAAATAGTGGCTGGAAGCTACTTATATGTCATATTGATTTTGTTCAAAAGATTTCCGGTAGCTCCTTCAAAAGCACCAACAATTGCTCCAGAAAAGAGAGGTGTGAAGGAGGGTGGCAATGTTGGTCTTATCCACGAGATGGTGCTCTGGATCTGCTAAGGTTATCGCAGCATACTGAGCATAGGACACATTGCTATCAGCACATGCAGAGCTCTCCTCCCGCAGCCCACTGCTGTGTTTGAAAGAGATGTTGAGTCTTTTTCATCCTTAAGAACAAAAGGAAGTTCAAATATTTCTCAGAAGCAGCCATCAGTGTTTCAGAATAATCACCATGTTTACATGATGTCCTGAGGTTATATCCCTTCCTCAATCCTTCTGCACGTGAGTTAATTCTCAAAGCTTCTCCTGGATTTTCAGCACCTGGAGGGTGGAAAAAACTTATTTCACGCACTTGGCTGGAGGTGTAGACTGCTCCACTCCCAGGCCAGCTTGATCCACCCACAGATGCCTAAAACCCAATTCAATCCATGCCAGCTGTAGGCTGCACAGCAGATTAGAATGTGGATTTCTGATGGCTGCCGTTTCCTGAGATAGCATTTCAAGAAGCTGAAGTTCTTCCCCTTCGTCCTCTCTGCAAAAGCGGCTCCCATCAACTCAGCTCAATACGTTATAGGCATCAAGACATCTCCAACAGAAGCCATCCCAGTCTGTCTTAGTATATCTGAAGGAGCATCTCCACCCCCATCGTTCTACCCGGACACTGAGGTCCAGCGCTGAGGGTCTTCTGGCGAGAAGGCAAGTTACAGGGAACCAGGCAGAGGGCCTTCTCGGTAGTGGCATCTGCCCTGTGGAACGTCCTCCCACCAGATGTCAAAGAACAACAACTACCAGACTTTTAGAAGACATCTGAAGGCAGCCCTGTTTAGGGAAGCTTTTAATGTTTGATGCATTACTGTATTTTAATCTTTTGTTGGAAGCTGCCCAGAGTGGCTGGGGAGGCCCAGCCAGATGGGTGGGGTATAAGTTGTAGTTGTTGTTGTAGTTGTTGTTGTTGTTGTTATTAGACCCATCTTCCACAACTGAATTTTAAACAGACAAGAAGACCACCTATTTCCTAAAGTTCCTTTACTCTCCTGATTTCATTTTGTGTGTTTTTTTTAGCAAAGTATTATGGGACCTCCAGTCCTTGAGATCAGCGTAGCCCTTCCATTTTGTGCTGGAGACTCTTCCTAGGCCATGTCCCCTTTTCTCCAAGCCACACCCTACACCAGAGGATTTCAACCTTTTTCAGTCCACGGCTCCCTTGACCAACTACATTCCTTCTGTGGCTCCCTTCTGGGGAAATGTGCTCCAAGCTTCAGAAGCCCAGTTATGCCACCCCTGCAGAGCCGTCAGCCCCTCACCCCTTTCCCAACACCCTCCTTTGTGGAGTGTTCCCTCTGGCTCCTCTGCTCTCCCCTCTTCCTGGGAGTCCGCTGGGCAGCAGCCACCGCCGACAGCCACCACGGTCTCTGAAGAGGAAGAAGAGGAGGAGGAGTTTGGAAGGAGTTTCAAAAGGACGCGGGTGGTGCTGTGGGTTAAACCACAGAGCCTAGGACTTGCCGATCAGAAGGTCGGCAGTTCGAATCCCCATGACAGGGTGAGCTCCCATTGCTCGGTCCCTGCTCCTGCCAACCTAGCAGTTCGAAAGCACGTCAAAGTGCAAGTAGATAAATAGGTACCGCTCTGGCGGGAAGGTAAACGGCATTTCCGTGCGCTGCTGTGGTTCACCAGAAGCGGCTTAGTCATGCTGGCCACATGACCAGGAAGCTGTATGCTGGCTCCTTCAGCCAATAAAGCGAGATGAGCGCCGCAACCCCAGAGTCGGCCACGACTGGACCTAATGGTCAGGAGTCCCTTTACCTTTAAGGAGTCTCAAAGCGGCTAACATTCTCCTTTCCCTTCCTCCCCCACAACAAACACTCTGTGAGGTGAGTGGGGCTGAGAGACTTCAAAGAAGTGTGACTGGCCCAAGGTCACCCAGCAGCTGCATGTGGAGGAGCAGGGACACGAACCCAGTTCACCAGATTACGAGTCTACCACTCTTAACCACTACACCACACTGGCTCCTGAGCTGTTCCCCCACCCTAAAGACAGGTGCCTCCTCATGCCGCCCCACCAAGGGCCTGAGAAGAGAATGCTCCCGGCCTTAGTGGCCTGATGGAGACAGAGTGGGCATCAGAGGAGGGAGGGAAGGAAAGAGGGACAGAGGCCAGTGCTGCCTGTGGCACCCCTGCCCATCATTCAAGACACCCCAGGGTGCCACAACACACTGGTTGAAAACCACTACCCTACACCAACCGTTACCCATGCCTTTCATGGGTTCTTTAATACGTCAAATGCCATATAAGCACCCCCCACCCCCCAAAAAACCCACCTTGCATCCCATCCATGAAAACTTCACTTCCATATAAAGGTAAAGGTAAAGGGACCCCTGACCATTAGGTCCAGAGCCGGCGTACAGCTTCTGGGTCATGTGGCCAGCATGACTAAGCCGCTTCTGGCGCACCAGCGCAGCGCACGGAAATGCCGTTTACCTTCCTGCTGGAGCAGTACCTATTTATCTACTTGCACTTTGACATGCTTTCAAACTGCTAGGTTGGCAGGAGCAGGGACCGAGCAACGGGAGCTCACCCCATCACGGGGATTCGAACCGCTGACCTTCTGATCAGCAAGTCCTAGGCTCTGTGGTTTAACTCACAGCGCCACCCGCGTCCCTCACTTCCACACACACACACACACACACATATATATATACAGAGAGAGAGAGAGAGAGAGACGTACACACACACACTTATAAATATATACGGTATGTGTGTGTGTGTGTGTGTGTGTGTGTGTATATATAGTTTATATATATATTTTCCAAACATCTCTCATCTTATACAACATTTTGGCTATCAGCCTAGGACTTCCATCAACCACATCGAATGATTTTCAACCTTCATCACTTAGGCTTGCATTTCATTATTTTCACTATTACAGTGGTACCTCGGGTTAAGTACTTAATTCGTTCCGGAGGTCCGTACTTAACCTGAAACTGTTCTTAACCTGAAGCACCACTTTAACTAATGGGGCCTCCAGCTGCCGCTGCACGATTTCTGTTCTCATCCTGAAGCAAAGTTCTTAACCTGAAGCACTATTTCTGGGTTAGCGGAGTCTGTAACCTGAAGCGTATGTCACCTGAAGCGTATGTAACCCGAGGTACCACTGTACTTTTAACAGTCCATAACTTAAAATCCACTCTCATAAATTTTCCCTGCAATATTTCATATAGTTCTCCTTACAAAACTTCTTGTAGTTCTACAAGCATAGTCAACTGATTAAAATTGTTTTTCAAATAGTTCGCATATTTATTCCTGACTTTCAAGAATTCTGGTCCCGCCAGTTTCGAATTCTTCTTGTCATCATGTCCAGTTCTGCATAGTCCATTATTTTCATCTGCCATTCCTCTTTCATTGGTAGTTCTTCCTGCTTCCATTTCTGTGCCAATAATATTCTTGCTGCCGTTGTCGTATATAAAAAACAATTTGTTATATTGTCTATTAATATCCTTGCCTACAATACCAAGTAAAAATGCTTCTGGTTGTTTGTTTTTTTTATATATAAATGTATATTTCAACATCTTTTTCATCTCATTATATATCATTTCCCAGAAGCTTTTCACCTTCTTACATTCCCACCACAAATGATAGAAGGTACCTTCTTTTTCCTTACATTTCCAACATTTATTACTTGTTTTATACATTTTAGCTAATTTCACTGGTGTAATATACCATCTGTACATCATATTCATCACATTTTCTTTCAAAGCATTGCATGCTATAAATTTTATTCCTTCTTTCCACAGTTTTCCCCAGTCTTTTAACTGTATATTATAACCAAAATCTTTGCCCCAATGTATCATGACCGACTTTACCTCTTCATCTTTCAAATGCCATTCCAGCAGCAATTTATACATTTTAGACAATGTTTTAAAATTATTATTTAATATTTCCATTTCAAATTTTGATTTAGTGTAACCAAATCCATTTTTCTTTAAATCCTCATTCATTAATTTGGCGATAGTGCAACTAGTCATTTACATATTCTTTTACCTCTTCATAATGTTTAATTTTCCAATTATTCCCTTCTTCTCTTACTTACTTTTCATATGTAAGCCAATTTTTACTCATATTTATCTTTTTCACACTCATTGCTTCCAAAGGTGACAGCCACCAAGGTGTTCTATGCTCTAATAGGTTTTTATACCTGTCCCATACTTCAAATACAGATCTTTGGAATATATGGTTACCGAATTCTTTATGGACTTTTGTTTTGTCATTCCATAAATATCCGTCCCAACCAAACCTTTTATCAAATCCTTCTAGATCCAACAGATCTGTATTTTCTAGCAACATCCATTCCTTCAACCAACAGAGGAAAGATGCTTCATAATATAACTTCAAATCTGGCAAGGCGAAGCCACCTCTTTCTTTAGAATCTGTTAGCAATTTAAATTTAATTCTTGGTTTCTTCCCCTGCCAGAGATATCTTGAAATTATTTTCTGCCACTCCTTTAATATAGCTGCCCCCTTAATTATTGGAATTGATTGAAACAAAAATAACATTTTTGGTAGCATGAAAACTTCACTTCCATTTTCTCTCTCCCTTGATAATTTCTGAATGCACTTTTCTCATTAATTGACGGAAAGTGGTAGAAACAAAAGAACCCAGTAGAAATTTCCTGCACACCACTAATCTCTAGCGTGGCTTAGCATTCAGGGGATTTGAATCCTGCGCAGGGAGCCATATCAAACAATTGCCACCCTGGCGGAACCCCCAGAGAAGTTCCATTCACATGTATTCCTTTGGGAACATTTGCTAATCCATCAGTGCCCAAGAGGCGTGCAGTAGATCATTATTTCCTTCGGAGTTCTAACTTAACACGGTGTTAATGTCAACTTAGATACTTTCAATGGCTTTGACAGTTTGTGTTTGACAAATTTACGATGGCTGGTAATGTGGTACACTTTTCATTATCAAAACTGCTTTTTCTTCCTTGCAAAGGCTTTTAATTGCTACCCATTCCCGCCAACAAGGGGTTTGCGTTTTTCATTAAAGCACTCACTGAGATCTTGACAACCCTCGACACACTCCATCTGAATTTAATTAACTTTCCCCCATTCTCTCTCTCTGTCTCCCCCTCCCGCCTTCCCTCTCTTTCTCTCTTTCACACACACAACTTGCCTTAAAGCCTTCATTGCAAAGATCTGCGTAGAAGCAGGGGAGGAAGTGAACAGTTTTAAACCTAGAAGCTGGCTATTTAAAAACAAACAAACATGCATGCACATATTTGTGTGTGTGTGTGTGTGTGTGGTTTTTGGCAGCCCAGTGAAATCTGGCCTTTGATTAATTAGGAAACCCTTGTTGAGCTTATGAATGTTTTCCTTCAGAGCTCATGTAATAGACTCAGTATCAGCTTCATCACAATCTGCCTTTCCTAAGCCCCAAATCCTCAAACGCCAAAGCAAATGCCAGGTGGTAGACCTTTTTCCTTCCGTCTTGATTAAACCTGCTCTGTAGATAAACCTCTGCTAGTCTGCTTGGCATCGTCTCCAATGGAAGCAGTCGATTTAGGTTACACAACTAGCACTGCCAGGTGAAAAAAAAAGAAGTAATTTGGGCAGGGACTGGGAACTGGACCCAACTGCCTGGGCAAACACAGATGGGCAGCATATAAATGCTATATTACTACTATTATTGTTATTCTTGTTGTTGTTGTTGTTGTTGTTGTTGTTACAAATTAATTTCAGTAAGGACAAATGTAAGGTTCTGCACTTGAGAAGAACCAGATGCAAAGTGTGAGTCAACAGTGTGGCGTAGCAGCAAAAAAAGCTAATGCTATTCTAGGCTGCATCAACAGAAGTCGAGCGTCCAGATCAAGGAAAGTAATAGTGCGATACGATAATCTTTATTGTCATTGCCCATACAGAACAACGAAATTGAAAAAATCTACATCACACATTCAAAAACCAACAAGCCTGCTATCCCAACTATCCCAGCCTGATTAGCCCCTAAAAACTCTGATACCCCATAACTGAATACAGTATACTCACATAGAGACTACCTTACACTGCGTTTAAAACCAAAATTGCATTTGGATAAAAACTGTTTCTCAGGCGGCTAGTCCTAGTCTTTATAACCCTGTACCTTCTTCCAGAAGGCAGAAGTTGAAAGAGATTATTTCCGGGGTGCGCACTATCCTGCACTATCTCTGCAGCTTTCTTATGGCACCTGGAAGCATAGATTTGATCCACTCTATTCTGCCTTGGTCAGACCATATTTGGAATACTGTGTCTAGTTCTGGGCACCACAATATAAGAAGCATGTTAACAAGCTGGAACATGTGCAGAGGAGGGCAACCAAGACGATCAAGGATCTGGAAACAAGCCTTATGAGGAATGGTTGAAGGAGCTGGGTATGTTTAGCCTGGTAAAGAGGGGACTGAGAGGAGAAAGGATAGCCAACTTCAAATTTCTAAAGGGCTGTCACCATGGAAGATGGAGCAAGCCTGCTCTGGTGGGTAGGACTCAAACCAATGGCCTCAAGTTACAAGAAAGGAGATTCTGGCTAAACATCAAGAAGAACTTTCTGACAGTAAGAGCTGTTCGACGGTGGGAAGGTCTCCCTTGGGAGGTGGTGGACTTCCGTTCCTTGGAGGTTGGTTGGCTATCTGTCATGAAGGCTTTAGCGGAGATTCCTGCATATACTGAGCCTAGCAGTGTTTTTACCTTGGGGAATCTGCAGAGCATGGGGTCAGATGCCTCAACCTTCTCTGAACTTCATAAATGTGTCAGTGCCCCAACAGTAGAGATAGCATTGGGTTAGAGCAGATGCCAGAACACAAGACACAATTAAGGAATTCGTGAATTGCTCTGTTTTGACTCTTCTCAGTTTCTCATCTTCCCAGTATTAAGTTACATTTTCCACATTTTCACTTTTTAATAAAAAAGTTATAACGAAAATTCATCAACATTTTAGTGTGAATTCTCCCAATATAAACATACTGGCAAAACAATTTTTCTTTCTGTAGCACATTTGTGCATGGTATTTCTTACCGCAGTACTTGTATTTTTGTACACACAAAATCCATCGGCACAATGCAAAACTGGTGGTGTGAACCCTCACTGGCGGAATCATGAACCCCAGTAGCCTTCAGGCTGAAGTTGATGTTTCAACCTCTGATTCATGTCCAATTATCTTGCTGCACACAGCAGCTAACCAATGCTGTTTTGACAATAACGCAGGCACTCTAATTAAGAATGCCTTTACATTAATCTATAGTGGGGCCATATTTGAGGAAATGGGTACACAGTTCTGGGCACTGCAACTTATAATGTCCTAACACTGGAAATGGTGCAAAAAAGCTGTGAAACTGAGTACTTTGTGGATCTTCTTTGGGTGGGGGATGACATAACAGTGCAAATAGTGCGGGGGACTCCCTGGTCCTGAATGGGGTAACTGTGCCCCTGAAGGACCAGGTGCACAGCCTGGGAGTCATTCTGAACTCACAGCTGTCCATGGAGGTGCAGGTTAATTCTGTGTCCAGGGCAGCTGTCTACCAGCTCCACCTGGTACGCAGGCTGAGACCCTACCTGCCTGCGGACTGTCTTGCCAGAGTGGTGCATGCTCTAGTTATCTCCCACTTGGACTACTGCAATGCACTCTACGTGGGGCTACCTTTGAAAGTGACATGGAAACTGCAGTTAATCCAAAATGCGGCAGCTAGACTGGTGACTGGGAGTGGCCGCCGGGACCGCATAACACCGGTCCTGAGAGATCAGCATTGGCTC